AAAGGTACCCGTCGGAACGGTACTCGGGACCTGGCTCGACTGGGCGTCGTCGTACGGGTCGTAGGGTCGTCGGAGGTCCGTGGTACGGCTGGGGTCTGGGGCTGGGGGCTGAGGTCTGGGACCTGGGGCCTAGGGGCTAGGGCCTAGGGTCTGGGGCCTGGGGTCTGGGGCCTGGAGGCTGGGGGCTGGGGTCATGGTTCTGGGGTCTGGGGTCTGGGGGCTAGGCCCTGGGGTCTGAGGTCTGGGGCCTGGAGCCTGAGGACTGGGGGCTGGGACCTGGGTGTGGTGAGGAACTGCAGACCAGGAGCTGAATTCTGTTCCTACCCGGCTCTCTGGCTGTGCCCAGAAGGGAGAGCTCACTGACGGAGCCTGGGGGCTGATGGCGTGAGGCGCTGTATCCCGCATCCTGTAGGAAGGAAGGTGCCAGTTACAGCATTGCCTGCGGGGTGGGGCTGGGGGAGGGAGAGAGAAAAGAGCGACACAGCCCTTAAGGAAAGAAATCATCTTTCCACTTCGGGGTGTGGGGAACGGTCTTCCAGCGCCCTCTCCCATGAAGACCCCGGTGGCCGTGCCCGAGAGCAAAGCCAAGGAATTCCTGAGCAGCCTGAGGCGCCAGCGGCGGCAGCTGTGGGACCGCTCGCGGCCCGAGGTGCAGCAGTGGTACCAGCAGTTCCTGTACATGGGCTTCGACGAAGCGGTGGGTGTTCTGGGCGCCGCGGGGCTGGCTTCCAGCAGGGCAGTCAGGGGTGGGGGAGGCCTGGCTTGGAGAATCAGGCACAGAGAATTAAGTTTTATTATTTGCTCTGAAATCGGAGCCTCGTTCTGTGCCGCGTGCTGGCCAGGCATTGGATCACATGACCGTCAGTCCATCGCGTGAAGGCATCCCCTGGAATTTTCCATCCCAGGATGCCCAAGCGGGAATCTCTCCCATCAGGTTCTGGAAGCAGAATTCCAGAGAAGTCACCGTCCTTGGCTGGGACTTAAATTCATCAAGCATCTTATTTTCTTAGGAACATTTTGAGCATCTCTGTACAGTTTTGCCTCAGTGTCCTTAAAATAACTCACTGCCTCCCCCTTTTCAACTTCACCTCAAAAAAAAAAGTCAGAAACAAGATCAAAGCAAAGAAAGACCCATGAAGATAGTAGAAACAGATGGAAAAAAAAAGTGCCTTTTAAAAAGACAGGCCTTTGCAAATGTTTTGGGGAAAATTTGTCAATACATTTGCAGGAAACTATGGTTCAGTTCATGTGTCCAGGTAGCGTGAGTGGACATATTAACTAAATTAAGGGAAAAGAATACTTTTTCCTTTTAAGGAAAAAAATGAAAATGAGGATTGAGGAAAGATTACAGTAACTCAATGTGCACAGAAGAGACTAGAAGCAAACTCAGCAAAACATCAGTAGTGGTTACCTTTGGCAATGGAAATCGCTCCCTTCTTTGTCTCCCTCTCACATATACATTTTAAAATGTTATTTCTGTATTCATAAAATATTTTAAAAATTTACTGAAAAAATATTTTAAGCCCAAACCTCAAAAAGATTCTAAAATGAGAAAAACCAAGGAACAAGCCTACTTCACTCTGAGAAAAAAAAACTGCAGCATTGTGCAGAAAGCAAGCTGTCTCCTTTTCAAGGCCAAGGCTGGGGAGGCTCAAAAAATGCGGAGCCCCCGGCTGAGCTGACGGAGATGAAGGTAATATTGTTCTTGGCACAGCTCTCTCCAGCCCGCTGCTCACCCAGAGTGGAGGCCTGGGAGGAAGAAGGCCGTGGCAGGGAGGCTGGGGGCTTCCAGCCTTACCAAGGTGTCTGAGACAGTGTTCACCGGCAATCTTACTAAAATAAAAGTAGATTCCTGAGACCCAACCACCAGAAAATTTGATCCAGGACGAGTGGGTGGTGCCTGCCTGAGAATCTGCATTCCACAGCCTCCTGAGAGATTTGGCCGCACGTTGAGAAAAACTGGTCCTGAAGCCCAGACTTCCAGACACGCTCCAACCTCCCCAGGCAGTCTGCCTCTGCTCACCCATCTCTGCCCTCTTGCTAAATCTCCCCAAGTCCCGAGCGTGGACATGAGCGAGTCCCCATCTAGACCCATCTCCTGCCCTCTCCCCACAACCGTGCAAATTAGTCTGTTTGAATATACGGATTCATAGTTGGGATGGAGAGGGGCACCAAATGGTCCAGGGGGACAAAAGTACAAACTTCCATTATAAAATCCACAAGTCCCTGTATGCAGGGCACAGTAAGGTGACTAGAGCTAATAAACCTGTATTGCATGAAAGTTAAGAGAGTAAATCTTAAAAGCTCTCATCATAAGGAAAAAAAGTGTTGTAACTACCCGAGGTGATGGATGTTAAGTATACTTCTTGTGGTGATGGTTTCTAAACGGACACAAATACCGATTATGTTATATGTCGGTTCCACCCCAATAAAGACCTGGAGGAACGGTGGAGACCAGCTGCCCCAGCTGTAAACCTGAGGGCGCTCTGTGCTCCCCCATCCTCAGCCCCACTTCCCTCTGCAGTCCTGTGTGAAGGCAGCTGTTTCCCTGTGATCTTGCAGGAGCCGTGGACTCCGGGAAGGCAGGGATTCGGTCTGTTGTGGGCGGCCCTCCAGTGCCCGGCACAGGGCTGGACAGGCTGTGTTCTCGTGAGAAGTGTTGGTGGCATGAATCAGTGCCCCCAGGCCTGTCTGGGCAACACTACAGGTGTGAGAGCCACAAGCAGACGCGGCCACATCCCTGTGCCAAGGCTGCACTGATTCCATCCAGCAGCGAAGCCTCAGCCTGTGCCCTGGCCCCGGCAGGACACACAGGTCAGCGTCTGCCTCGTCCGATGTGCAGCGCTGGGGGTCAGGCCCAGGCATGACTGTACTTGGGAGATGTCTCTTTTATTTACCAAAAAGAGAAAAACGCCTGCATCTGGGGCGTCGGACGTGTTCAGGGGTGTGGATGCGCACCCCTCTCGGGGAAGGGCTCTCCAGTTGCTCGCGCTGACCTCTGGCCCAGGGATGCTGTAGCCAGGAGCTCCTCTTCTTTATTCAATTATTATTGATTATGTTTTAAATGGAAAGATGGTTGATTTACAACGTTGTGCTAGTTTCAGGTGTGCAAGGTGATTCAGTCACACGTATGTGTCTAATCGTTCAGATTCTTGTCCATGATAGGCTATTACCAGACACTGAGTAAGTCCCCCGAGCGGCTCAGCAGGACCTTGCTGCAGGAGTTGTTCTCAGCAGTAGGGTCATTCGTCTTTGACGGAAACCCACCCCAGAGCAACGCCGTGGGTAAGACGAGCTCCAGGGGACGGTGCCTTAAACCCCTCCTCCTTCTCGCTTCCTACAGAAGTTTGAGGACGACATCACCTACTGGCTTGACAGAGACCGGAACCGGCATGACTACGACGACTACTACCAGCGTCACCACGATGAGGACGCGGCCCTGGGTCCCCGGGCGCCCCAGAGCTTCAGGCACGGGGCCAGCGTCAACTATGACGACTACTGAGGTCCCGCCCGCGGCCGTGGCCACACCCCGCCGTCCACTGAGCCTTGTCCCGGCCGATCCCATCCACCCATGTCTGTGACCAGAGAGGAAGCATTAAATTGAAAAAGATCAACGCCTTTGGAGATTTCGTGCGAATACTTAACCATGTGTTTCATTTAAAGATAGAAATAAAAGCATTCTGTTAAAAAGAAAAGTCTCAGAATTCATTTCGACGAAAATTAAGTGGGTGACAGTCTTCCTGGAGGTTTCTGGACAGGAAGCAGCATCTCAGGGGCACCTGTCCTCGGCCATCCCACGCCCTCCCGAGAGTCCTCACCTCCGCCCCAGGCAGGCCGTGGCGTCCAGCAGGTGTCTTCAGTGTGTCGAGATCCATTCCATGCCAAATGCCAAGTAAACAAAAAACAGGCGAGAAAATTTAGTTGGAAATCACTGAAGGTTACAGAACAGGGTGGGAGGGTTCTGATCGCCCACAGGGATGTGCAGGTTTGCTGTTCCCCACCTGCCCTGAGCCGGGGCTGGACCATTAGTGATAGCAGGCAGGAAATAAAGGGTAATTAACAGAGAAAACACAGAAGTCTGGTTGATTTCAAAGCCTCACTTATCTCAAAAAAATTAAACCTTGTCCAATGAATTCAAGAAGGATCTAAGAATATACTTTGCATCATATTTAAACAACCTAAGTGGATAAAAGAGAAAAGTGCTGTGGGGGTGGTGGGGGAGGGGAGGAAGATGGGGGTGGTGGGGGAAGGGCAGGGAGGTGGGCGGGATGGGGAGGTGAGCGGAGATTCTGGGCTGGTTCTGACAGGAGGTCTGTCGCAAGCCTGTGACACCTGCCGAGGGGAGGGGCCTTGTACTTTTGTGGGTCACAGACCCCTGGACAGCCTGATGGAAGCGTCTGTGTTCAGGATTTTTGCATCCTATGTCCATGAGGAAGATCGGTTTTCCTTGTGGTTTCATTTGTTTGGTGTCAAGCTTATGCTGGCCTCTTAAAATGAACTTTATTTTTTTCCAGTTTGTTCTTTTAAAAATACATATATATTTTTAAAAATTGAAGTATAGTTGATTTACAATGTTGTGTTAATTTCTGGTGTACAGCATAGTTATTCAGTTATATGTAAAATATATTCCTTCTCATATTTTTTCATTATAGGCCATTATAAGGTATCGAATATAGTTCCCTGTGCTGTACAGTCGGACCTTGCTCTTTCTCTAACATGAACTGTTTTCTGTTTCTCTGTGCAAAAATGTATCTTTTTGCTTTGTTGATCTGTTTTAGGCTTCTCTATTGTATAAATATCTCTTTTCTTAATTTCTTTCCTTCCATATCTGTGGGTCTTTGATTTATGTTAGATCTTAGCTCAATTTTTGAGCCTTTAAAAAAAAAAAGTCAAGCACTTTATGTTCTAAGTTTCCTTTCAAGGATTGTCTCCCATGAGTTTGATGTGAAAAGTGAGATGAAACCTTCTATTTTCAATTATAATTTCTCCTTTGACCCATGAGTTGATTACAAGTGTTATTAAATTTCCAAGTGAATGGATTTTTCTAATTATCTTATTGGCTTTGTTTTCTAACTTAATTGCGTGTGGTTTTAAAAAAATGTAGTCAGATTCCAGATCTCTTAAGTTTGCCAAGGCCAGCTTTACGTCTGAGCGCGAGTGTGCACGTGTCCCTGGAAGAAACATGTCTTTCCAGACATCACACGCCCATGAGCTCAAGCCCCACAGTTACGCTGTTCGCATTTTCTATTTTCTTACTAATTTTTTTGTCTGTTTGATCTACTGGCTACTGGTAAATGTGTTAAAATCTACTATGATGGATTTGACACATTTTTCCTTTAATTCTGTCAATCTGGCTTCATCGGAGGCTGCAGGCGAACTCCCGTGGGACACACACACTTAGAGTCGATACACGTCCCCACGGGGACGCTTGGGGTTCCTGTCCTCTGGGGCTCCCACCCAACTGGAAATTTCAAAGGAAGCATCCTCCCTGCTCATTCCGGGGAATGCGTTCATCTGTCCCTGGTCCCACATCAGGGTGGAGCCTTCTGGGTTCTAAGAAGTGTCACTGTCTTGTGACCTGTGAACCAGGTCACCGTTTCTAGTCCCCAAAGCGCTTCTGTTCACCCCTGCTCAGTAAGTGGGGTGGCACTTAGTTTAGGCCAAAATAATGACAACTAAAAATACGACACCATCCTGAGTCCTCTCCTTCTCACACCCGACCTGCCCAGCACTGACTCTCGGTTCCAGGATCTTCTGGGGAATTCAGCACAACAGATGAAACAAAACCACAGGGATTCTGTCCAGATCACAGGGATTCTCCCTGGAGAAACACATCCAATGAAGAACCGCCCCCCCCCCAGGTGACTGTGTAGGACAGGACATCCAGCTCACCCTGGCTCGTCAGAGACCAGCACGGCGCCCCTTCTCGGTGTCCCGGCGGGATCGGCCACGGCCACACGGAGCCAACTGACTCGAAAATGTGTTGCTCTAACTTGCTGTGTGTTACTTCCATTTGTGTAAAAGGAATAAAAGCCTCCTAACACCAAACCTTGGAAGAACTCTTACTGAAATGAAAGTCCTCTGAGCTCCGGGTCGACGAGCCTGGTTCACAGGTCACGAGACCAGTGACACTTCTTTTCTCCACCTGGTCCGTGCCTCCGGAGGAGGACACCGTGGTTCTGACCCTGTAAGACCTCACACTGCAGTGAGCACTGTGCATGGGTCCAGCCCAAGCAGCACAGAAATGTTCCCAACATCCACTCAGCAAGGCACGGGTAGCACCAACCTGGATGTTCACAGAGTTTTCCTTTAAGTGAAATTCTCCAATATTCTTCTAACCAACCCAACCATGCACCGTGCAAAGCAGGAAGTCAACCTTTAAAACTGCAAATGAGTTTCAATATTTTATTAAAATAGCATTTTTAACCACTGTTAACCAAGAATATGTTAACTTTGCCCTCCCACCCCCCCGATATGCAGCACAACACAGTAGTGATTTCAAATATCCTGGATCGACCGTGATAACCAACAGAAATATTTCAAAGTCAAGTTTGCAACTAAAAACTAGACCTTGGAAAAATTCTGAATTAGAAGAAACAAAGCTCTCAAACAGAATTCTTTAATCTGCCTGAGAATAAACTTGGTAATTACCACCTACCGGCCAACACTGCGGGGTCTGCTTGCCCCCCTTTATGCATAGTATAACGTCTCATTTGTAAGTACCCACTTCATAAATAAATCGGCATTTTTCACCCCATTTAATGTTCTTTTCTTCAGCTTCACAAAGAAACCAGTAAATAAAACTGTCGGCGACAGTCCCGACATGGGCTCTCACAGCGAGATAAAAACCTGGAAAACACGCACAGGTGCACTGACGCTATTTTACGTAAAAAGACAGATTTAAAAAGTGCAAGGCAGAATCTGCAGTTCTTGACGGGAGTCTTTAGGCACATCCATTTCGTAAAAAGCAAGCTTCAGGATGAATTCCAGTTTGTTCTTCACGACACCTGTTTAAGTCTTTCTTTAAAGAGAAAAAAGAAAAAAAATTACACCCACTCAGGTGCGGCCCAGGCGCCCGTCCTGAGGGGCCCTCAGCTGTGGCGCATCCGCCCCTTCTTGATCCGCGCGGGCTTCGGCTTGGGGATGTACTGGTTGTTCGCCTGGTACTCCAGCTCCTTCCGGAAGTAGTGAATCGCCTTGTTGAGCCCCTCTTCCAGTGGGACCTGCGTGCAGAGGGCGAGGGTGGGGCGGGCCGCCTCCGCGCTGTGGGCCCCACAGACCCCACCCCCACCAGTGCGCTCCGATCCCACGCCCCACGCTCCCTCCGGCCCGCCGGCTGAGGGTCTGCTCCGGGCTGAAGCCGGCACACAAAGGGCACTTCTGAAATACCGCCCGGGGCCACATGGGCCCCTCCCTGGAATGTCGCGAGGAGGAGGACACTCGGTGGGGCCACGTACCACGAGGCAGCGGGACCCCACTTACCACCGGCTCCCACCCCAGCATCAGCTTCGCTTTCTTGATGTCTGGTTTCCTTTTCTGGGGGTCATCCTGGGCTTCAGAGAGAAACTGAATTTCACTCCCGCTGCCTGAGTTGTTGGGAAAAGAGGGAAGAGCACCACGGATGTGACTTTTACCGTGCACATCAAAGTGAGGCCCCACCTGCGCAGGGGACACAGTGCTGAGGGCACAGCGCGCCTCCACGCCCCCTGCCCCGGGGGCTGTGCTCCCGGCCCCGCGGTGCTCAGTGAGGGCAGGCCTGTGGCCCCCACAGGTCTGGGCC